CACTTCTTCCCTCTGAGCCTCAGTCTTCTGAGCTGTGACATGATGATGGTGGTTTAGTTGCTAAGTCGTGACCAACTTGCAACCCCATGGACTGTAGCCCACCAGGCTCTTCTGTCCATGGGATTCTCCAGGCAAGAGTACTGGAGTGGGTTGCCGTTCCCTTCTCCAGGGGATCTTCCCAACCCAGGAATCGAACCTGGGTCTCCTGCAGTGCAGGCAGAGTCTTTCCCAGTGACCGAACTGTGAGGGAGGAGTTTGTAGTAGTCAGGGTAAGTACTGCTAGCTGCTGTAACAAATAGCCCCTGCAGCTCAGAGGCTCAGCAGAGGCTTACGCCTTGCCCTGTGGGTCAGGATGGGAGGAGAGCTGTGTGCAGTCCTCTGGGGTCCTGCCACCCTGGGGTCAGCCTCCTCTGGGGTCTGAGTTCTCCCCGGCTCCTGAGCACCCGGCCGCGAGGGTGACACACAGCCCTCACACACCCCAGCCCAGCGGTAAGAGACCTCATCTCTCTTCACAGTCTGTTGACAAGAACTGGTCCCGGGGGCGCAGATAAAGGCAAGGCGGCTGGGAAACCCGGTCCAGCTGGGTGGAAGATAACCCTGACCCTGGTGCACACGGAGCCTGTCTCTGCCGCAGGGTGGGGCCAGATGCTGTGATTCCCCGCCACCCGGCCACACCAAGTGCAGAAGTCAGGACGCCGGGGCCTCCCCCTCACCCCCCGGACGAAAGCCATTCCTCCTCCCGCCCTCCTGGGAGGAGAACCATCCCTGCCAAGCCTCCTCTGAGGGCGTGTGGGCGGCGAGATAATGATCTGAGCGTGCTCACTGCCTCTTGGAAGGCAGGTGCTGGAGGGAAACCAAGTCCGCTTTGGTTCTTCTCTCTGTTCCCTTCACATTCCTTCCCAAGATAAATTTAGCCAGCCGTGCTCCGAGCGGCGGTACCCAGGATACCGACTTTTTGTTCTCCAAGCCCACGTCCGAGCGTTTCCCACGGCTGCGGCCGTGAGCCGGGGACGCAGACCTCAGGAGCGCGGTCCCGGTCTCGGCCCTGCGCGTCTGTGACCCCCGCCTGCCCCGACCCCAGCCCTCACTGCCGCGTGTTTCAGACAAGGGCCCTGAATGCTCCAGTGACCTGAGACAGAACGCAGAACACAGAAGGGCTTTCAGATCCAGCGCAAGGGCTGCTGTGTCGTTCCCAAAGAAGGAAAGAACCAAAGAATAATTAGGGCCACTTAGCGCCCAGAGGCAGGATAGCTCTGGCGGAGAGCACAGATTGAGGAGTTGCAAGTGTGCATCGGAATTCCAGTTCAGGCAAACGACCTTGTCAGCTGGTCTCCCCATCTGCAAAATGGGCCGACACTGCCTTCTTCTTGAGATTTCCTGAGAAGCTCAAGAGACGTGCATGTTTTTCTGCTGCTCTATAAATGTGGATGTGGAGATGGAGATGCTTCATACGTGGCCTTGGGCCAGCCTGAGAAAGCCGCAGCGAGGACCTTCTGGAGCCTTCTGCCCACACCAGACACTTCTTCTGCAAACTTCCTGAGCTCTCCCGTGAGGCCTGCTGGCAGAATTAGGTTCTGGGGCCTCCTCATCTTTACAGGAATGATTTCCTTTCTGGTGTTCATCCTACTCTGTTACAGCTGGTCTGGCTCAAGCTTGGTGCTTTTTGCCTTGCTCTGTGAAGCTCTCTGCTGCCTCCACCCAGACCATACTGGCCCTAATCTTCTTTTACATACTTCTTTATCTGACCGCACCATGTCTTATTGGTGGCACGCAGGATATAGTTCCCTGTCCAAGGATCAAGCCCAGGCCCCCTGCACTGGGAGCGCGGACTCATAGCCTCAGGACCACCAGGGAAGTTCTGATACTTACCATACTTTTGAGGATGAGGTAGCTGCTGCCATATTTCCTTGTCCTCCACGTCTTTTTTTTTTTTCTTTTTTGCCACACTGCACACTTTGCAGGATCTCTGTTCCCGGACCAGGAATTGAACCTAGGTCCCAGCAGTGAAAGCACCACGTCCTAACCACTGGCCAGCCAGGGAACTCCCCCACCAAGGCTTTGCCCATGGGGTTAAGTGGCTGCCCTTCTTGCAGCCTCCTTCCCAGGCCTGGGTTCATTCTACCACTGTCAGGAAGACCCTTCTGTCTTCCCGGCCTCTCCCTCCAGCTGCAGAGCCCCCGCAGGAAACACGAGCCCGGGTCAGCCTCCCCAGCGGCCGTTTTCTCCCTGGATCCTTTCAGGGAGGCCTGTCTAAGGCCTCCAACAGTGAACAGGTGCTTCCCTCAGGCACAGGCAGAAATCGAAGATAGACCCCCTCTCCCCACGCTCCCCCCGACCAAGACAAAGCTCTCCAGGCCCGAGCTTCCTGCCTGTGAAGTGGGGGAGGGGAGGGCTGGAGTCCCGGGAGGGAACAGTTAGGGGTCTCAAAAGGGGTGACTGCATGGATGCACTCTTCACAGAGGTGGGCAGGCCGCTCTGCAGACTCTGGGCCTCAGGCGGGAGGCCAGCCTGGCTACAGGCCCCGCAGAGGAGCCGGGAGACAAAAAGCACCCTGCCTGCCTTCCCTTCACCCTCTGGCCACCCATGGGCACCTCCCACCGGCAGGACCACCCTGACCCAGAGGGCGGGGGCCTGGGCAGGAGCGGTCTCTGCAGAGAAGGGCAGAGAGGACGTCCGACTCGGAGGTCAGGAGCACGCCCACCTCGTGGTGGGGCTCGGAGGTCACCCCTCTCACTGACTGCGGAGGAGGTCTCAGCACCCCCCGGGTTATAGACGTCGGAAGTGAAGCCCCAGGGGCTGAGTCCCAGGAAAGAGCGCAGACCTGCAGCCTGTGGTGGTGGAGCCCAGATTTAAGCTCGCTTCTGCCTGACCCCGGGTTCCCAGAGCTGACGTGCGTGCTGGATGTGTCCCGCAGTCCTGTCCGACTCTGCGATCACACGGACTGTGGCCCACCAGGCTCTTCTGTCCATGGAATTTTCCAGGCAAGAACACCGGAGCGGGGTGCTAACTCCTCCCCCGGGGGATCTCCCCACCCAGGGACTGAAGTCGAGGCTCCTGCACGGGCAGGCGGATTCTTTACCAATGAGCCACACAGGAAGCCACAAGCCAGCGGCGACAGTAGCCGACATTTACGATTTAAGGTCTCTCGACCCCCAACAAGTGACCTTCTCCCCCCGCTGTGATCCTTCCGTTACCTGTCCCCTCGGGCTCAGCGCTTCGTTCTCCCCGCTGGACGGTTTGGAAAGCAAGCATCCCTGGGAGGGGCTTCGTGTCGGTCGCCGGACACTTCCAGGGAGTGAGTTTCTCAGCTGTCCCCTGTTCTGAGAGAGGCCCAGGACGGGCCTGGGGGCCTCTGGGGACTGGAAACACTGAAAGGGAGGCACCTGAGAGAAGGACCGACGTGGACGCCACACAGCTGCAGAGGTCTCCGTGTCCCTTCTCGGTCACCCCCTCACCGAGTCCTCACCCTCTTCCTGGGATGCTGACATCAGGAGCCTGTGTTACCACTTTGGGGCGGCAGCCCAGAAAGATTACCCTTCGCTGGGGCTCGTTTCCCAGGCGGCACCAGTGGTAGAGAATCCACTTGCCGATGCAGGAGACGTAAGAGACGCAGGTTCCATCCTGGGTAGGAGAGGTCCCCTGGAGGAGGGCATGGCAACCCACTCCAGCATCCTTGCCTGGAGAATCCCTTGGCAGAGGAGCCTGGCGGACTACAGTCCATGGGTTGCAGAGAGCCAGACACGAGTGGGCACACGCTCACACACACACGCAGAGTTAGTTTCACCCGTAACCACGTAGAAGGAAACGCGCTGGCTTTAGAAGCCCAGAGACAAATGCAACTCAAGCCCTGGCTGACTGCGAGACGGCCGGTAGATGCCTTCACCACCATAGGCATACTCAAACGGGGTGACGCCCGCCTCGCTGTGTTCAGTGAGGGTGAAACGTGACCCCTCTGCTCAGGCTCCCGCAGTTCCCGGCGGACACAGCAGTCCCGGCCAGGGACGCTCAGAGAGCAAGTGCTTGAACCGGGCAAATCCAGCTCTAGGTCTCAGCCAGTTGAGTCACCCCGAACCAGTCATTTAACCCCTCGAGCCTCGTTTGAAAAGTAGGGCAGTCACACCCTTATCCCACTGGCTTCTGAGATGCGGTGTCTAAAAGCATTTATCATCATCATCATCATCATCATCATCATCATCATCATCAATCTTGGCCATGCCTCGTGTCATGTGGGATCTTAGTTTCCTGACCAGGGTTCAAACCTGGGTCCCCTGTATTCGAAGCACAAAGTCCCAACCAGTGGACCACCAGGAAGTTCCTAAAAGCAGTTTTAAAGCCGCCCTATAAAAGCACTTTAGGGATCAGTGTGTTTCTTCACAGTATCAGCGCCAGGAAGCCTTCCCCGGTGCTGACTTTGTTCCAGACCCTGTTCTCAGCCCCTGACATGTGTGACTTCACTCCGTTTTCATGGCAGCGCTTAGGAGCAGGGCTTCTGTACTCTGCTCACTCACAGATGAAGGAATGGAGTCTCAGGTTAAGTGACTGCCCCACGCTGCGTAGCTGGCAAGTGGCAGAAGCAGGCTTTGAATCCAAGCAGGCCGAGCCGCCCACGGCAATGGGCACACCCGTCTGGGAGAGGACTCCCAAAGAGGGAGAACCGCGGAAGCTGGGAGTCCAGCGGGGCTCACACTTTCCCACACGTCAGACTCACTTAGAGGAATCAGATTTTTAGAAGGCAGCCTCCCGGGACCTAGTCCTGAGATGCTGGTTCTCTGGGTTCAGGGCAGGACCTGGAGATCTGCCTCCTTAACAAACCCCTCCAAGGTGATGGCTGTGCAGGCGGCCAGCTGACCACACGGGGAGGACCGCGGCGGGCGTCCCGCCCCACCGTCAGGCAGGGCTGGGCGGTGAACGAGGGCTGCAGGGCTCCAGGGGATCCTGAGGGTCCAAGCGGGAGAGACAGGCGCCCACAGCGGGCCCGCGCCTCCCGCTCTGGCCTCCAGGTTCGCCAAGTACTACAAGACGGACAACGGGAGTGAGTATCGCACCCTGCTGAAGGCTTTCGGCATCCGCTTCGACGTGCTGGTGTACGGAGACGTGAGTCCTGGGCCGGGGGCGGGGCGAGATGCAGGTCCTTTCTGGGCCCTCAGACGCTCCTTCAGGCCGGGTTCTGCGGCTGACCCGCCCAGAGACCCTCGCTGGTCACATTACGCAGCGGGGGTCGGGGTGGGGGGCGCACACTGATGCCCCGAGAGGCCTTCTGGCTCCACGGCCGCCCTGACTGGGAGCCCCAAGTTTAGCCTCAGGCCTCACCCGGACCTGCTGAGCGCCCTGCGCGCTCACCTTGGTCTTTGTGCACCAGGCTGGCAAGTTCAACATCATCCCCACCATCATCAGCTCCGTGGCGGCCTTCACCTCGGTGGGAGTGGTGAGTGCGGGCCCTCCAGGCTGGTCAGGCCCGGGGCTGGGTGGGGGGGAGGCGGGGGACCCTCTTCTGCCTAGAGCCATCCCCTCCGCGCTGGGCCAGCATCTCCTGTCCTGGCGCCCACGTGGCCAGCGCCCCACCCCCACCCCGTTACCAAGTCCCTGTTCCCCATCACCGTGAAGGTGACGGGGTTTGGGGTGGTGGGGAGGAGACCCCAGGGTTCCCAGACCCGAGAGCCAAGCCGGCCCAGAGCCCTGCTCCCTGGGGTCGGGCACACGCCCTCCCGCCCTCCACATTTCCTCGGCTTCTCCCAGTGCATTTCAGGGTGGGCCCACCTAGGGGAACGGGGCAGGGGGGGAGCTGGACCCCGGACTGTCCTGGGTCCACGAAGGGGCATTCACTGGGCTGGGGAGGGGGGCTGTCCGACGGGGCGGACCTTGGCCGAGCGCAGGGCGTGGTCATCGCTCTCAGCATCCCCGCCCACTCGTCCTCCCTCGGGGTGGGCAGACCCTGCTGTGTCTTGCCTCGGGGCTCGCTTTGCCCTTGAGTTGCATGGGAAGAATCTTGGGGTCACAGCGACTTGCCCTGGCTCCCCTCGGACCCACCCGTGAGCCCCGACGGCTGAGTCCGCCACACGGTGGCCCACGGGAGGACCCCGCCCGCGGTCGGAGCCCACCCATGCCAGCGCTTCTGCCTGCAGGTGAGCGAGACCACGCTGAGGGTCTCCGCCTCTGCCCACCCGGCGGACACTGGCGACCAGACCACGGAGGAGAAGCAGTCCACGGACTCGGGCGCCTACTCTATCGGCCACTAGGGCCTCTCCCGCCAGCTGCAAGCTCAGCCTTGGGCTCCCAGCCTCCCCATGGGGGACCCCGCGGGGCGTGGGGGGATGGGAGGGAGAGGGGCTCTCATTTCCGCTGCTCACCCCCTGGGGCCACAGCCAAGGCCTGGGTCTGACCGCTGCCCTGCAGAGGCGTCCTGCTCCCACGAAGACCCCATCTCACCTCACCCTCTGCCCCACCCCGCTCTGCTTCCCAGGACCCCCGGGGCGGTGGCACCTGGCCATCCCCCTTCCAAAGAGTAGAGACAAAAATAGGAATGACCATGGGCCACGGGAGGCCACCAAGCCCAGGCACCTTCACATGTGTTAGCTCATTTACTCCTTAGAATAGTCCTGCGAGGTAGATATTAGGTTCCCTCTTCTGAAGATAAACGGCAGCTCAGAGAGGCTTAGTCGTTTGCCCTGGGACACACAGCCCGGAAGCGAGAGAGCTGGGCTTTGAACCGGGGTCTGACTCACTCCATCACCTCCACCCCACCAGGAGACAGGGGACACCCGGAGGCATCCGCCCTTCCGCTTCAGCCTCCCCGACCATGACCACGATCGTTCCCACTTCCTCACGAGTGCGGCCCTTGCAGTCCCCAGGAGCTCAGGCAGGCCCCGTGTCAGACGGGGGTGCAGGGTCCCTTTCTCTGACTTGGGTGGATCCCAGACCCAGAAGGAAACAGGAGACGTAACCGTCGGTGAATTTTTCCTTCCCTCACCTCAAGCCGGAGAAGGGAATCTTCTCGTTTTCTCTGGGATCCCCACAGGGTCGTGCACATCCGGGCCCCCACTCAGGAGCCCAGCTAGGTGCCCACTCCCTTGCCCGGGGCAGGGTGGGCTTCCCACCTGGTGCCCTGTTCCAGGAGGTCAGCGGGTCTTCTCCATCACATGGACGAAAGGGTCGGGTGAGCAGCTGGTCAGCGGGCCTGTCCCTGCAGGGCCCGAACAAAGTGGTCGGTCTTCTGACGTCAGAAACTAAAGGGGCTTTAGGAACCCTCTTGTCTGATTCTCTTCCTTACAGATGCGCAAACTGAGGCCGTGGAAATGGCTCAGTCCACGGTCCTACAGTTAGCAAACCAGAGGCGTCCTGCCGCTTGGGGGTGGCGGGGAGCCAGGAGCGGACGCCGGCAGCCCGGCTGCCTCCCCATGCCCACTCGCCCCCTCCCTTCTGCGGTAGGGGCCCAGAAAGGGCACCAGGGCAGAGCTCAGGACAGGTCCAGCTGAGCCTCATGAAGCATGTGCTAAGCCACTCGTCGTGTCCAACCCCGAGACCCTGTGGACTGTATGGAGCCCAACAGGCTCCTCTGTCCACGGGGTTCTCCAGGCAAGACTCCTGGGGTGGGCTGCCATGCCCTCCTCCAGGGCATCTTCCCGACCCAGGGATCGAACCACGGTCTCTTACATCTCCCTCTTTGGCGGGTGGGTTCTTTACTACCAGCGCCCCCAGGAAGCCCTTAGGAGGCCTGAGGCATACGGTGTGTGTGTTGTCTTTTGGAAAAGACTACATTAGGCGTGGGAAAGTGCTCGTGCCGCTGAACGCTCTGAAGTGGGAGTTCCACCAGTTTCACGGGAGATGCCACAGAAAGGTGGGCGCCCAGGCCAGACCATGGGGTCTTAGCAGAGCTTGATTATACAGGGAGGGCTGGTCCCTCCAGAGAAGGTGCGGGGAAATGGGGGTCAGGGCAGCTGGGGGAGTCGTTTGGGAAGGCCTGACCCCTGTGACCCCCACCCCATGGGGAGAAGGGGAGAGATTTCCCCACAGGGGGCTTGTCACCCTTTTTCCTGCTCTGCCTTCTGTTCACCCTCCCCCCGCCCCGTCATCAGGATGCTGGGGCGACACCTCCCCAGGGGACAGCCAGGGGAGGAGGCAGCGTCTGGAGACCTGAGCAACAGAGATATCAGTGAGGCAGAGCTGACCTTTGCAGCCAGGAGCCCCACCAGTGTTCCTGGTGAATCCAGCTCTCAGGAGGCTGTGGTCACAGCGCTGCTTGTTCTCTGATGAGGGGACTGAGGTGGCTCTGTCCTGGGGGCACCCCCTCCTGCAGCCCCCCTTCCCTCCAGACCGCGTCAGTCCTCCTTCGGGTGCCCCAGCCCATCCCAGGCCTGAACTCGTGGATGTGTGACCTTGATGTTGTCTTTCCCACGGCCGAACTAGGTCACCGGTCCCTGTGCAAGACTCAGGGCTGCTCTCAGGGGCAGCCCCAGCACTAACTCAGCTCTGCCAGCACTAACTCAGCTCTGCCGCATCGCGTGTGCTCAGCACGCGCGTGACTCCTCCCCCGAACCCCATCCACCCCGTGCTGTGCTCAGCTGTGTCCAGCTGTCTGCGGCCTCACGGACTGCAGCCCACCAGGGTCCTCTGTCCACTGCAGTGGGCTGCCAGTACCTTCTCCAGGGCATCTTCCCGACCCAGGGATCGAGCCCCCGTCTCCTGCATCTCCTACATGGCAGGCAGATTCTATCCCACTAGTGCCACCTGGGAAGCCCAAGCTTGCTGTGAACCAGTGAAGTTGCTCAGTCGTGTCTGACTCATTGCAACCCCATGGACTGTAGTCTACCAGGCTCCTCCATCCATGGAATTTTCCAGGCAAGAGTACTGGAGTGGGTTGCCATTTCCTTCTCCAGTGGATCTTCCCGACCTGGGAATTGAACCTAGGTCTCTCACATTGCAGGCAGACGCTTTACCGTCTGAGCTACCAGGTACAGCTTGCTGTGATTTTGTCATTAATCCTGATAAAAAAGAAATCTGCAATACGTGGACATTTGAACCAGAACCCACACTCATTCCTAACAGCTCAGCAGCAAAGCTTACAGTCCGTGATAACCCAGCATTGCCAAGCCGTGGGTCAAATGAGAAGTAGGCTGTGTCTAATTTAACTTTCATTTTGTTGAAGAAATTGAGGCTAAGGTTTTAGACTAAAATGGTAGATCTGGGACTCGAACCCAGAACTTTACCACCCCGGAGTCTGGGATCTCGATTTGCATGCCACATCCGGCTGGGGAAAATGAAGAAATTTGTTGGTCCCTTCTTCTCTGTATGTTAGGCAAAACCAGATTTTGCTGCAGGAACAAATTGTGACATCTCAGGATGTTGTACAGTGAAGTAGGTCAGACAGCCCCTTCCACTTTGTAGCTGTGCTGTCTGAGACAGGTAGACCCCCAGATCACTACGACAAGGGAAGTGAGAACTGGAAGGTCAAGGGTGACCACAGAGGGTCACTTAAGGCCAGGCCTGGGACGTCCCTGGTGGTTGCGTGGCTACGACTCCATGTCACCCAGTGCAGGGGGCCTGGGCTCGATCCCTGGTCAGGGAACTAAATCCCACACACCACAACTAAGAGTTCGCATGGGCAATGAAGATTGAACATCCAGTGTGCCGCAGCTGAGATCCAGTGCAGCCAAATAAGTAAATAAATATTTAATAAGTAAATAAATAAATGCCAGGCCTGGCCTTCGTATCAGTTCCAACCGCCTCCCACCGGTCAGATTCAGTGCTGTGCTGTAGAACCCAGGTTTACTACAAAGAACACCGGGGAAATATAGCCTTCCCAGGTGCCCAGGAAGAGAAAACGGTGAACACATCGGCTTCATTGGCTCCTTTCTAATAGCTTTTCTTCTCCACAACCCCCCCCACCAACATGTGTGCCAACAGTTACACACATTTTTCCCTTCTGTGTTCCTTCTCACAAAACCTTTTTCTTGGCAAGTTTTCAATCAATCTCCCAGAGGTGTTAACAGACAACACACTCAGGAATTTCTTCTCCTAAGAATATTTGCTTTTTAGTCAAGGACTTCAGAGTTGAAAGGCCTTAAGCAGTCAAGGGAATGAATATATAATGGTTGAACTTGAGGGTGAATAACAGACAGGACTGGACACTTGAAGCCTATCTCATGTACTACCCTGCCTACCTCAAGCGAGCTTCAGTCTGGAAGGATCTGAACCCTTCTGCCATGCCTTTCTCCTCCCTCCCTCCTCCTCTGACCCTGGCTGGCAGTATATTGGGACACCGGGATTAGCTAGAGCCCATCGCCCATCAAGGAGATAAGTGAAGCCGAGAGGAGGAAGTCTGGCTTCCCTGGTGTCTCAGACGGTAAAGCATCTCCCTGCAATGTGGGAGATCTGGGTTTAGCCCCTGGGTCAGGAAGATTCCCTGGAGAAGGGGATGGCGACCCGCGCCAGGATTCTTGCCTGAGAATTCCCATGGAGAGAGCGGCCTGGCGGGCTACAGTCCGTGGGGTCGCGCAGAGTCGTACAAGACTGGGCGAGTGACGCTCTCACCTTCACCGCCATTCAGCAAGCCCCAGAGCCCCGTGCAGAGCTCAGCCTCCGCCCCCCCCCACCACCCCTCCGCATGCTTCCGCTTCTGTGAGAAGGACGGTCTTGAGAGCTGGCTTGTTGGACTTCCCTGGTGGCGCGGCAGATGAAGACTCTGCCTGCCAGCACGGGAACACAGGTTTGATCCCTGGGCCGGGAAGATGCCACCTGCGGTGGAGCAGCTCAAGCCCATGGGCCTGGAGCCCGTGTTCTGCAACCGGAGCAGCCCCGCGGTGAGCGGCCCGAGCGCCCCAGTGAGGAGTGGCCCCGCTCACCGCAACCAGACAGCCTGTGCCCGCAACAAAGGCCCGGCGCAGCCAACTCGAAGTAAATCAATTCTAAAAAAAACAAAACAAAAAGGACTAGGCTGCTGCAGTCTGTAATGCAGGGACCCGGGTGAGGCCTGACCCCAGGGCAGCTCCCCTTCGCTGCCTTTGGAGAAACTGAGATGCTGTGATTAGAAGCCGCCTGACCCAATCTCCATCCAAGGCAGATGGACAGACCCCTGCACTGAGGACAGGCCTCTTCACCGGGGGGCAGTCCCCAGGACCTAGCCCTGGTGCGGTTAAGGCAACGCCAAGGCCCGTTCTCCTGTTGCCAGAGGCCTCCTCATGTCCGCAGGCCTCAACCCTGCGGCTTCAGCACCAGCCACTCCCACTGCGGGTCTCCCATCCTGTCTGCGCCTTTAGAAGCGAAGCAC